TTCTTTCCAGTTTTCTCTTTCCAAATTCCAATTCATCTAGGATATCAGTGCTTCAGTAATCTTTCTAAAATTTTCTTTCATTATATCAGTATTAAATCAAACCCACAAAATCAATTAGCTATTTCCTATTATACTAAGTCTATGAAACTTTTGGCTACCTGGTCAAATCTTATCTTTTTAAGATTACCCAAATCCATAATGCTCACTTGTGTTTCAAAATATTTCTTATCTCCCAGAATTTATACTGATATTATTCTTCCTAATAAAAGTCCTGCCTCTTCCTCAAAACTCCTACAAATATAGCCACACACTTTTCTCCTTCAGTGATATACTTTGTGTTTACATTTCACTGACAATAGCACATGCACCTTATATATCACACAGGGTTTAGCACAATGATAAGCTTGTATTAGATATCTAACTTCTAGCATTGATTTTATGGAAATTCACACACCATATTTATGTGCACAAAAGAATTCTGTGCTTATTTTCCCTGTTACTGTGAATTCCTTGAGGGTAGAGGTGTCCTTTTGCTTATCTTTGCATTATTTCACAGTACCATAATTGGAGTATACACTCAGGAAGTGTTTTCTGAATGAAATCTTTGAAGACTTGTATTACTTCAAGAATACATACTGATTCAGAGCTTAGGGGTGACTTATACATAAAGCAGTAAAAGGAGCACCAGTGATATTATTGTTAAGTTTTCCAGAACCTGAGAGCATTAATATTCTCTTATCTGGACACAATGGAAACTACAAACTTAAAAATTACCTAGCTTTTCAAGGAAGAAGCCCCTCCTTAACCTAGTGTATTAAGTTTGATGCATTGGGCATGAGACCTAGGATTTCTATTCTCAAGCAAAGCAATTGACAAGTGTGTTTTATAGGTTGGTGGTCAAAATACCAGATAAGGTGATAAGGAGGGATAACTATACACAAATAAAATACATGAAAAAAGTAATCTGTTTCAGATTGTGGAATGTGTAGTAGTAATAAAAGCTTCCAGGGACAGTTAGTACATAATAGCATTCTTTTTAAAAAAGGTAAGTTACTATTTGGTGAAAAACATCAGGTAATGATAATTCAGGTTAACTTCAGACTCCTCAGTATCAGACATGGTCATAAAACATCATGCCTTAGCATTAAAGATAGCTTGGATAGCACGGAATTGAAAGTGAGGTCCAGAGAAAAAGGACTTTCCAAAAGTCACATCTTCAACTAAGTGCCAGAATTAGGATAATATTTTCTATCCCAGATCTCTATACCTGTTTTTATTCATCCTTTTATATCTGGTGAAAGAGGCAAAGACATTGAGAAAACTTTCTTTGAAATGGACCTTTTAAAGATACAGAGACTTTGAACCTAAAGAAATAGGTTCAAAGGAGAGATTTAGAGGTTATGTTTTGGACTTTGGAGCTAGGGTCTGTCACTTAGCTGTGTGAATTTGTGTTTCTCAGAGTTTGTGTTTCCTCATGTATAAAATGGGTTTATTTAATATGTACAACTCAAAACTACTTGTGATTATAAAATGTGGCAAAGCCTGTAAGTCATACAGAACCTAACAGGCATTCAACAAAA